ATGGGCCTGGGCTGCAGGTGGGCGCCCAGCTGGGTCTGCTTTTCGTTGCTGTCTATTTCACTCAGACACAGTGAACCCCGGCATGAAGGTAAACTGCTCCCTGGGGTTCCCTTTCAGAGGCGGACCACCGGGGGGCTCTAGAAGCGGGTGTTTTTTACCAGCAGAGCCAGGACTGGGCTTGTCGTCATCCAGGTGTGACCATGAACTCAGTCCCTGCACAGCCCGTCTACCCTGTGTCCCCCCGATATCCTCCTGTCCTCATGGACTCCCTCCTTGGTGTTCTCCAGCCTCCCAGGAGCTTCTCGCCCCCCACAAACCACCACCTCGCCCCCACACTACTTCGTCTCTGAACTGCCTTCACTTCTGAACCCCAGTGGCCAGGACCTGGACACACCATTCAATTCAGTTAACACCCACCTCACTCTGACCCCCCCGACTTGAGGACAGAAGCCACAGGGGAGATGGGAAGAGGGAAGCCCTTACAGGGTGAAGGTATGCTATGGGCAGATAACAAGGGGCCTAAAATGTTCTTGAAAGGTCCGGATGGTGCCCCAAGGGCAATGGGGAGCCATAGACATTTGGAGAGCCCTGCCTGACTGGCCTCTGGAAATCCCCCAGCTCTTTTAGGGAGTTCAAACAAGAGGACTCCCTTGAAGGGATGAGGAATGGAAGTTAGATTTGACTGGGACTGGTAGGGGATGAAGGAGCCATGGTGGGCCTGTACCTGCAAGGCCAGTCCTTTCAACCCCCCAGCAGCTCCTTAAGGGAAAGAGGGGTCTTCCTGCTGCAGAGAACCCTACCTCCGGCCTCTCCAAGTGGGAACACGGCAGTGGGTTGCTTGGTTTGAGCTATAGGTGCCCTGGTGTCTCGGTGGGCAGCTTTTGAGGAAAAGGTGGGATTTCTCTCATTCTCATGCCAGAGAACCCAGTCGTATGCAGTTCTAATCATTCATTCATTCGCTCACTCGCTTGTTCATTCATTTATTCATTCACTCATTCACTAACTCATTCATTCATCCACACACTAATTCAGGTGCTCTTATTCACTCACTCATTCATTCACTCATTTACTAACTCATTCATTCACTCACTCATTCATTTACTCACTCACCCATTCACTCACTCATTCATTTACTCACTCACCCATTCACTCACTCATTCATCCACTCATTGATCCACACACTCATCCATTCATCTACATCAAACACATGGGCACTCCTCCTCTGTGCCCAGCCCACGGGATGATGGGGGCAGGGTATAGGGAAATGGGCGCCTAGTGGGAACTGCACAGGCCCAGACTGCCTGGGGTCCACCTGCCCACGCCTGCTGGCCCCTGCCCCGCCGCACACTGGCCTGCTCGTGGTGCTCGATGCCCATGCTGACGGTGTTCACCAGGATGGCCATCATGATGCCGCGGTTGAAGTACTTGCTGTCCACAATGCCACGCAGCTTGCCACGCAGCTCCCTGCACACGGCCCCACAGAGCCGGGCCGCCCCGTCCACCGGCTCCTCCTCCTCCTCCTTGCCCAGCCCGGAGGAGGCCCCGTCCCCATCCACCTCCTCGGAGCCTCCGCCAGAGTCCCTGGAGCCCGAGCCCTCCTGGCCTGAGTCAGTGCTGGGCCGCCGCCGGCCGGCCTCACGCTGGCAGCGGGGGCAGCAGGCGGGGTCAGAGGCCAGCATGGCCGAGACGGGCTGCAGCAGCGTGTGGGGCGTCGGGTCCAGGGGACTGTGACGTTGGCACAGCTCTGAAAGGCAAACAGAGGGCAGGGGCTTCAGTGCCCACCCTGGACTCAAGACTCAGGACAGCCACTCACGGGGCCCGCCCCTGGCCTGGTACACACCCCAGGTGTGCTGAGCATGAGCCCGGTGTGGGGCTGGCCCACCTGGAGGCAGAGGACTGACCGCTGGGGCTTCTCTGGGCACTGGCTGTCCTTGTGCAGAAGGGTGGCGGGGAGAGTGCTCGTGTGAGCCTCAGCCCCTCCCACCCTCCAGCTGACGTCCTACAGGTTTGGGGAGCAGACAGGAAGGAGCAAACTAGGCCGGGGTGGGAACCAGAGGACTCCTCACGGAAATGCACAATGGTGTCAGCGGTCCTCACGTCCCCCCACACACACCCGTGGACTTGCTGCTTCCCAGGGATTGAAGGCCCTAGACATACACACACACACACCCCAGGAGTGGCCAGTTGGGCTGGCTCCCTGGGGAGACAGTGGGCCCCGGATGGAGACGACCCTGCCACCTGTGACTTGGGTCAAGTTTGCTTCGTGTTCCCAGAGTAGCCTGTGCTGCTTCTCTGAGCAAAAAACAACAGACCACTAGCCTCCCTGCCCACCTTGTCCTCCTGCCGTCTGCTGGCCCTGGACACGCTCTCATCCCTTCAGCCACCTCAGTCCCTGGAAGATGTGTCCCACACCTGTACAAGGAGCTAGACTCCTGACACCACCTCCCCGAGAAGGCAGGCAGCCTGCTAGTCTAGAGCAGTGGTTCTCAACCTGGGGGCCCAACGACCCTTTCACCACGGGTGAAGGTATGCTATGGGCAGATAACAAGGGGCCTAAAATGTTCTTGAAGATACATCCTGCGTATCAGATATCTATCTACATTACAATTCATAACAGGAACAAAATGACAGTGATAAAGCAGCAATGAAAAGAATTTTATGGTTGGGGGGGTCACCACAACATGAGGAACTGCATAAAAGGGTCACGGCATGAGGAAGGTTGAGAACCCCTGGTCTAGAGTCAAGCCCTCCTTCTGGAAGCCTTGTTCCTGGGACATCTCACACACACCATAGACACACACACACACACACACACAC